CGCCAGCCTTCTGGTTAGCAGTCAAGTGTCAAAGTATCTATAACCACTATTTTAAAACTGCAAGTAAACAAAATAGTGGTCAAAGTATCTATAACCACTATTTTGTTTACTTGCAGTTTTAAAAGGAATTGTCAGTTAGAAAAATTGCACATGTTATATTGTAGTCATAATTCATATAAGGTAACAGTGGGTTACCTATATCAGGATAAATCATCTTATGTCTGCTACCTTGGTCTTATTTGTGAAGAAAGATAAGAGTCTGAACTTTGATTACAAATTGAAAGACTATCTGTTGTGTTTCTATTACCTTTGATTTCCATAAATTTAAATTTGAATGGAATTTAAAGGGTTTTAAAGAATACATGTTTAAGAACCAAAATAGGAATATCTACATTGTTGTTGTTGTTGTTGTTGTTGTGTGCCCTCGAGTCGGCCCCAACTCATAGCGACCCCTCCTTGGGTTTCCGAGGCAGTATCACTATGGAAGTAGGATTGCCCAACCTTCCAAAAAGAAAATGTGTTTTCCCTATATATGTAGTCTGCAAAGCTAATATAATAAAGAAAGGGGTATTTTTTTGAATATTCATGCCTTAGTGTTCTGATGTCTCTTTAAGAATAATCGTATCTTAACCAAAGTGATCTTGTACCTTTAAATTATGAGTGTTAATATGTGACCATATCTCTGGTGCCAACCTCTTAGAAAACTTGTGAAATTCTATTGTTTGTGCAAACTGAACATAGTACAATTTAGTGAACACAAAGAGACAGTAATAAAAATAGATCATTGTTTATCAGATTAAGAAATTGTTGGTAATTATAATAGAAATATAAAGATACAGTTTTAAATTTAAATTTTTGTACTATCCAAGGTAGCATAGTGATTGTAACAGGGTGGATAACTGGCAGTTTCATCAGGCAATTGAAAGCTTTATTCTAAATATAAATCTCTTTTTTGCCTTCTCTCTTTGTGTTGCTCATGGGTGTTAATGTTGGCTCTGATTTGAGTTTTAATCCCTGTCTTCACTCTCATTTCGCCAGATACTTGAAGAAGGAAAAAATTCCTGGCAACAGGAAAGTAAATAATCAAGGAAGAAAAGGGACATAGATAATCTGCAAACAGGATGATTCACCCAGGATGACTTGATTTTGTTGTAAATGATCTCACTTTCAAGCTAAAACACAGGCATTTTGAAACATCACCAATAGTTTTCAATTTTTCCTTTTATGCTAGAATGAAAAATAACATTCTGAAAATTCTTCATAAATTGAATCACCTCAAATACTTTAGAAGGAGGCAGAAGTCATAAAAATAAATCATTATGCATTAGATGTGGTTAACCCCATCCATCATTACCTGAGACTTAATGAAGTAACAAAATCAAAGAAAATAATTAGTGTAATTATAGGACCATGAGTTTCTGCTTTATGTGTTTGTTTATTTTATAGTAAACTCACAGTTTCCCAGTTCATTTTTGTGAACTCACTCCTAGTGTTGTTTAGAAAACTCAGTTTCCTTTGTGGGGTAAGAGAGAATTAGAATAAAGTGATAACTAACT